GGAGCTACGTGAACACATACTTCGACAAACTGACTTTACCTTGCGCAAGGGTATACACAAAAAAATGATGGCATTGAATGGAATGGAGTAGAAAGTAAAACGGAACGATATGGGCGCCCAGCATCTTCATCATCTGGCGGCATATGTTGGCATTGGCGTTAGCGTTGGCGTTAGGTGCTCATCAATAAAATCATCGAGGTCATTAAGTGGATTAACTGCAGCCCATCAGAAGCATGTGGTGCCATGGCACAAAACGCAAAATGCCAAATACGCACACAGTCAACGAGCACACACACAGACACACACACACACACATAGATACTAACACTAAGAAATGGTCGTCATCTTTGGCTTTTGCTTTACACTTTGCACTTCATAACAGACAACAGCAAGGCACTGTGGAAATTGTCTTTTAATCTTTGCATAAAAATTAAGTTGGAAATATAATAATATTAAAAAATATTTATAGGCCAAATTAGCAAATTATGAACCTTTTATTATTAAATTAAAAGGATATTTAGTAGACTTTAACTGAAATCATTCTTTTTATGTTAAAATTTAAAAAACTTGAATATTTTGTACTTATTTGTTAAAAAAGGTTTAACTACTTACTTTCAAAGAAAGTAAAAAGCTGAGCTTTAAGCTCAGTGCCAGTGCGTGCTGTCAATGCTTTTGACATGTCTGAAAGCTTTAGTATAGTCTTTACATTCTTTTCTCAAACCAGAAAGCCTTGATGTGATTTTAAAGTTCTTTATAATCTTTAATGCTCTTTATACTAGTCTTGGTATGTCTTAAAGCATTTATATGCTTTATGCTTTATAGTTTTAATTTAGCAAAGATAAGATTTTAAAGTTATTTATTTATTTAAGAACATGTAGCTTCGCTGTGTCTTTGGTATGTTATTGAGCCTCATATGACCTATTGAAAAGCTTTAATTAGCTTTAATATCATCCAATGCGTACTACAGAGCTTTCATTAGATACCAAAGCTCTTTTTAGAGACTTTTTTAGTGTTGGGAAGTTGTAAAAGAATAAGCATGACTAGAAGAACGGATAAAACTGGCCTTGGCATTGTTGATTAAGAGAGTCAGTTAAGCCAAAAATTCTTCAAGAATTTTTAAACTTTATACCCATTGTACAAAAATCTCCGCACGTTTGTTCAGCATCTATCTATGTGCGTTTGAGAGTGTGTGGGAGTGTATGTGTGTGTGTTGGTGCTACTCAGTCAGCTTTTCTTGGAGCTGGACGAAAAGAAGCAGTCGAAAGAGGGCAGGACAACGGCAGCTTGTCTTGTCTTGGTTCCTGTTGTTATTGACATGTACGAATTAGGTTAAATTTATTTACTGTCAGTTCAGTGAACTGCAAATGGTTTTAGTTTATTAAATTTAGCCATGGGACCAGACTTGGCAATCTGTTTTAAGTTTGTTAAATGCCAAAAAATCAAGATTGAGATTAAGTTATCGATAGATGGATTCATTGAACTACATTTTGACGGCTGTCTTATTGCTATCTTTTTCGCTTCCTCTCGCTCTCTCTGTTTCTCTTTCTCTCTCCCACACTATATCTCTCTCTCTCTCTCTGTCTCTTCTACTTTTAATTTACACTGAAAAGCAGCTGAAAATTAATTTCAAAGCTGCCGCCGTGAGGGTAAAACTCAATTGCGGTTTGATTAATTGTGCTGTACATGAAACCCAGCATTCGCATTCACACTCACACACACACTCACACACTTACACTCACATTCATGCTCATACTCGAACTGGCACTCAAGTTGCATTAATCAGCACAGCGTTGAACGCTGCTCATTTATTTGCAAAAAGGCAAATGAGGAAACGAACATGAAAAAAAGATGGTTAACGTAAACGTGGATTTTTCAAAAACCACTTTAGCAAATCGCAGTCAAAGTTAAGCTGAGAGCGAAAACGTGAATAAAAATTAAGCAGCAGCAATAATTATTTTTGCTAATTCGAAGCTTAAATGCTCTTGCAAACATATAACTTTATTATAAAAAGCAAATCATCAAGCTGTTATAACTAAACCTTTTTAAGTAAATTCCATCCTTGATTGATTAAAGGCAAAGGATATTCTGATATATTGATGAGCTCTGATTTTGGTTTCTATTTAGGAAAAAAGGTTTTCTTTTAAATAATCATATTCAAGATCTTTGGTTTTTCGATTTAATTAAATATAATTTAACTTGTTTTCTTTAAACTTGTTATTTATGAGATTTTGTGATGTCTTTTTATATAACACTAGCGGGTAGTCCCCGGCCTTGCCCGTGACAAATTTTGTGCATGAAAATTTTAAGTCTAACTCCACTAACTTAAATTCTATTTTAAAATATGTTCTTCGAAGGAAGAACCAAATGTTGTAAACGATTTCCGCCCATGTTAGTCCTATGACGAGAATATGAAATCTGGAGCTCTGGAAGCATTTTTCTTTCCACAAAGCGTAACACATAAATTCCCACAAAAATCGTTGAAAATGATTTTGAAGCCGATTCGATGGTAAACATACCAGTCGCATACTGAAACATACACTGAAACTATACTATACTATTTGACCCACATTTCGACAAAGAAGGCATGGATTATCTTTGTATAAAATCTATAATGATGTTATTAACTAATTCTAATGTCACAATACATGGTTTTATATATATATCCGCTTAAAAACTAGTGAGTAGACTTAACATGGACATACCTATTAATGCTGATCAGTTGTTGATAGCCTTTAACCTGGCGCTCTGCTAGCTGTTGCCAAATTCCTGACTTAACATATATACCCTCTGCCAGTTAAAATAAAAACAAGAAGAAATTGCGTGCTTGGTGCCTTAAAAGCTTTGGCAAAAGTTTGTTAAGCAGCAGCGCAAAAAGCAATTGCTCTAGAAATCAATTAATTTGAAATTACGCATACGACATGTGTGCAAACAGCGCACACAAAATGAAGTTGCAGCAGCCGCTCTTTCACTTTCTGCTGGTTGAGTTTATTTTGTGTGCCAAATTGAATTTGTATTTTTTTTTTCGACTGCCATTTGGCGCTTTAAATGGGCCAAACGTGACGTTTCCATTTTAGCTGCGCACATATAGAAATTTTGATTTTATGTTTGAGTTTTATACCCTGTTATCAAAAAAAAAAAAAAATGGGTCGAGAAGTGTTGAATGAATTTTCTTGAAAGTATCCTTTAATGTTCGATTTTCTTTTTAAACTGAGGACAATTTAAATAATGATAAAGGTATTGTGCTTGGTTCAAAAAGAGGGCACCGAGAAGGATTACTTCGGCAAATTCGGCAAAGCTTGAATATTTTTTCCTTGATTATAAATAGAAGTTCATAAGAACATTTTATTCACACAGTATGTAAATATATTTTGGGCTACTCTAGAGCTATTTGCAGGGCATTTGCTAGTCAAGCACTGAAGTGTGGCGCATTTCTAATTATTTCACTAGTCGCAACGATTTATCAAAATGATATTTAAAGCAATAAACTGGCAAATCGATCAAATTAAAGTGAGTTTTGTTTTCGAATAATTAAATTGAATTTAAAGCTGAAGACATGCTGAAAACAATGCGGCAGAAGCTCAACTAATTGCTGATGCTGTTGCTGATGTTGCATTTCTGCATTAAAATATTTATATTTATATTTATATAGTGCTGCCACATGGCGTATGCGTTATTTGCGCCCGCATATGCTGCGTGTGAGTGTGTGTTGTGTCTGGGTGTGTGTATAATAAACAATATCCAGGAAGACAACAGCAGCGCTGGATTTATGTTGTCGTTTGAACGCAGTCACACAAACACACATACACACACACACATACATACACGCACACACACACATTCGCTCCATATGCTATATAAATATATACATAAGGCAACGCCATGCAGCAGATGCGCTGTATGGCCATCTGACCGCAACAAAGAGTCAGCTCACACACACACACACACACACACACACACACACACACACACACACACACACACACACACACACACACCATCCCCCACAAATATGCAAATGCCTGGCATAGAAAGAAAATGTTGCATACTTTTTAGAGCATTTCGCAACACCTTTGGGGCATGTAACTAACTGTGCAGCTCATCAAGTTATAATTACGTTGACCCCAGGCACAAGTCAGACAAAGGGCAAACGCATGAATTAAACAGAATAAAGGCTTTCTATGAGTGAGTGTGTGCGTGGCTTATTAATTTGTAGCTGAATAGCAAAAAAGAAAAAAAATAGACATAGCTGATCATGTGAATATTATTTTAATTTAAGCAGCTTCTTAGCTAGAAACTAAAATATGTAATTTATATATATATGTATATCAAATGTTCTATTAAAAAGATGAAGACTTTGAACAAGTTAACAATTTTGATAAATCGTGCGCAAGACTTAAGTGCTTGACTAGCAAATACCCTGTAAATAGCTCTAGAGTAGTCCAAATATATTCACATACTGTGTGGATAAAGTTTTCTTATGAACTTCTTTTTATACTGAAGATTTCCGCAAATGTGCAATGGATTCAAGCCTCCTAAAGCCTATAGATTATTCCGTATACATGTCCCATATATTTTTTAAAAATAATTAAAATTAAATGTTCAAAATAAATATAATGTTGCATACCAAAAATCTCAGCTATTTATATTCTAAATATATGTGATATTTAATAAAATTGTTGCGATCTTGGGCGTTGCTATACTTCTGTGGAATATACTCTCTCTAAGTTCCTGAGTTACCATAACTTACTCATATCAAAATGGAACTAGAAATTTGTTGCCATTTTGCACAGTGCAATGGAAAGTTCCACATTTATTATCACATTTTTATTTAATTGAATATATTATATTATTTTTTACTTATATTCCACTCGAACAGTCTTAGAACTCTTAGAATTTAAAAATGTGCAAACAGCTATAAAAACATTTTATTCTTATTATACTTTTGCGTACTGTCTTCCGTCAGACACAGGTTTATAAAAAGGCAATACTGAAACTCAAACTCAGTTCTTTAAATCGATCAACTTGAACTGCAGCGGAATGCGTGCCGTGGATAGCTGATAGGCAATGAAGGGCTTGTCAGCCGGATGATGGAACTCTACTTGAAAGTTTCTAAGCAAACGAGCGACACCCACTTCCAGCTCCATTTCGGCAATGCGACGACCTATGTAGCTGCGTGAACCAAAGCCAAATGGCAAATAGGCAAAGGGATGGCTGGACTAGGTGGCCATGGGACAGCCATTGGAGTCACTGGAGTCGTGTTGCTTTTCACGCAGCCAACGCTCGGGCATGAACTGGTCCGGTTGCGAGAAATGCTGCTCATTGCGGAACAGATTCAAATGGACCATGGCAATTTCACTGCCCGGTGGCACTGTGTAACCGCTGGGCACCAGTTCCTGCCGCTTGCTGCGCACATTGGCCGAGGTCAGTGGATAAAAGCGCAGCGTCTCCTTAATGCAGGCACGCAAATAGGGCAAATTCTTCATGGACTCAACCGTAAAAGGTGTATCCTTTGCTGGCAAAATTCCAAGAATTTCTGTGCGTAGTTTTTTCTGTTTATCGGGAAGCTGGGCGAGCGCCAGTAGTATAGCCGCAAAGGTGCTGGTTGTCTATAAATTAAAGAAATCTTACTATAGCTGTGTTAGTTTATTTAGAAGCTGTTGCACGCACTGTATCGACACCGGCGAACATCATGTCCAGCGCCATAATAACCGCATATTTGCGATTAATACCCAACAGTTTTTCCAGCACACTTTTCTCTGCATCGCTTTTCACCTCAGTCGATTTCTCAATGCGTTCCACCGCCTCCTGCACGTATTTGTCTGTTATCTCGAGTCCCTCGGGCCTCACGCAATTTGGGCGTCTTGAACTGATGCCAAAGTGAGGACTTTAAATCCAAATCCAAATTTTTTCGCTTATCGTTTTGCTTACCGCCTTATAAACTGTTGGTTAATGTTATCCAGGGGACCCAAATACAATCTGAAATTCTTGGGTTGTATTATAATTGGATTTACGGCAGAAGGCATTTTGGCCCAGGCCGTATCTTGCGACGGTACCAGACCCGACCACGCCAAAGTAATCAACACGATGCACATTGCGATGATAGTTTAGGAGTTCGAAGCCTTTGCGATGGGGCCAAACACCTTCGTGACAAAACACCATCTCTCCCTGAGATCTGCACCTTTGTACTTGCCACCTGGCAGTAAGCCCAAAGTCATGTTCAAGATATTCACGCTCGGCATATCCTTCAGCGTTGGGATTTGCTGCTGCAAGTAGCGACGCTTTATAAAAATTAATTATTATAAATTTATAACAAGACTAGATTAAATTAGAAGATAAAATGGACTAACATACGGTTTTGAAATTGATCTATATTTGGTATTATTTATTACTAAAACAAATATTTAGTTTTTAGCATCTATATAATGGAGGGGATGATGATAAGATCTAACACGTACATATATGCTAAAACTGGTTCAAGCCCGATTTTTCTACTTTTTTGTTCTCTGTAAACTGTATCTAAACCAGAGCCCAAACTAAACCATATCTTTGCAAATCAAATCCGAACCAAAGTTCAATAGGACTAATTTTCTATTATGTACGTATTATAATCAATTTCACAACTGTGGGAATTTATATATGACGAAACCATTAGTTTTTGCATTGGCATTTCTTAGTATTTTCTTGAAATATACTCAGATGCAAAAAAATTATTTGTGGTAGTTTTACAAATAGTGTTTTCTTAAAAAATGAACATATGTATATGTTTTTGTGTATGTTTATTGACCTCCAATTTTTTGCATTGACTACGTTTATATACATACATATGTATGTATGTATGTATGTATTCACACGCGTCTTGTTTGTTGTTCTTGTTGCGCGGCTTTGGCAATTGCGTTTTTTTTTCCGCAACTCGCCGCGTTAGCTGCTCGCCGTACACTGAATTCGCCTAGGTGCTGACCCTGCCAAATAAGAATCAAGCATAAGCGCAGCGTCTGACGCAATTAGCGGCACATTTATTGAAAAAAATCGAGAGCGTTGCTTGTATGTTATCGCGCTCAGCTGTTTGCCGGCAAGTGTTTGCTTGTGCGAGAGTCGGCTAGAAAATTGTGTGTGTGTGTGTGTGTGTGTGTGTGTGTGTGGGACAAGGTACGATCACCACGCTTACGTACTTGTCTCTCTCTCTCTCTCTCTCTCTTTATAATTCTTACACCACTTTATGTCGCGATCATTTACACTTGAAAGCTATCCAATTTATACTCGCTATATCATTCGCTCAGTTGGATAATGTTTGAGCTTTGCATGCGTACATACATAAATACATATGTATGCATATATATATATAAACACAATAACAAGACTTTAAGAAAAACATATAATTGTCTAGCTATACATTCTGTGTATTTATTTATTAATTTATATGAAAAGTTCTATATTTTCATAGAACATTTTCAGCTTTACGTGTTATTTAATATTATATTTTATCATATAGGAAATATTGCATTGCAATCAAAGCCTCATTAAATAACGTTACAGTTGGTAGTGCATTGTATTTTCCTACATATTGATATGCTTGTATATAGAGCTCGGAAAATGAACTTTAATTTGAGCTGTAAGTTAAAAGTTTCGCACTTGTCAACATTTTGCATTTTTAAAATAACAATTTCCCGGTCAGCAAACAAAATGTAGTCGCTGCTTCAAAATTATTTGCGCAACTGGAGCAAACAAATTATAACTAGAATGAATAATGTGAGCATAAGTGTGCAACTTGCAAATACCCTGTAAATGTGTGTCAATATATATGAGCTGGTATCTACATATGTATATGCTAACAAGATTTGTTGAGTTGTGTTTGACAAGTTCTTTTATCTGCGCTGGCTTGACTTTTTTTTTTAATAATAAACAACAAATAGGGACACACAAAAAGAGATAATCAGCTTAAGCAGCAGATATATTATCAACAGATGTTGCTAATGTTACCGACGCTCAAAGCTTCAACTTGTTGAGAATTACAACGCGTTTATTTGATAGGTATTGAGAGAGATTGCTACATCAATCCTCTTTAAACTCATCTTGTTTATGGCAGCTTGAGTTTTTGTGTGTATTTAAAATATAAATTTAACATTATTATTATATTATATTATTATTATTATTATTAAATTACTAATATATTTATTGATTCTAGTTTTTCTAAATATTTCTGGACAATGGGATACACTTAGGTCCACCTGTATTTCGATGCACTTATAGAATTGACAGACATAAATTTGTATATATCTATTAATTGCATAAGAAACTCTAGTTACATTTGCCCGTTACATACGTCATTTAAAATTTTGCACACCCCATTTGCCACTTTCTACCGGTACAGGATATTAACTATGCTGCCCCACTTTGCAAGCAAGTTTCTCAAGAAACACAATTTTTCCCGCTGCCAACTGCTTGAACAAATACGAAATTTCAGCTTGGCTTTAAATCACTTTTGGTCCTTTTGCCAGCTTTATGATTTATATGTATTTATGGTAAATGACATTTTAATAGACTCGAGAGCTAATTAAATTTGCATTTCAGCTGCGCAACGGGCTGCAGACAATAAAATTGCTCAAAATGTCGCCACGTGCGATATGTCAGCCACGTAACATATGAATAAATTATTTAACATTTCTGAGAAGCCGCCAAAAAAAAAAAAGAAATAATAAATAAAAAATGGGAAACTACAAGCAAAGTTGCCAAAAACTTTGCGCATTAGCCAAAAATGGCGGCTTGAACTTTGTCGTTGGCGGCAAATGTAATTTATCAGGGCGGAAATAAGTAAATCAAAAACAATTTAAAGCACGTTCTCTGTGGGGGCGGGACAGGAGCTGCCACTGCTGCTGCCATCATTAGCAGCATGGCTATGGAACCAAGGGCGGCAGGGGGTTGGGGGTGCGCAACTGTCAGGATATGCGAAAAGGAGCAGAATCAGGCGGCAGCTTTAACTTAATTAGCTCGTCTAAGCCAACTAGAAATGGGCTGGCATTGTCTGCAAAAGTCACGCAGTGTTCACAGCATACCAAAGCCCGATGGCCCCTCTGGCAAACTTGGCTAAAAGTTCAACAAACACACACACATACTCATACCAACACACCAACACACACACAAAGCTAATGAAATTTTGAAAATTTTCCAACACGCAGCCGACGAACCTCAAAAGCAATTAATCACCTGCATTAAAGCGCGTTAGGTGCCGACATCTGAAACTCAACTCTCACTCTGTATGTGTGCTGTGTTGGTGTGTGTGTGTGTGTCTGTGTACGTAATGATGTTTGCTGAAGGACTTGCCACCCTCGGTGAGTGGCCTGACAAAACTGAAATCCGCATCGCTTTCGCCTTCGCCTACGCTTTTGTACCCCGTTTCCCTTTAGCCCACAAAAAAGTTGAGTGCTTTGTGTTATTGTTTGCTCAGCAGCCAATTGTGTTTGCTTTTTGGTAGTTAATCCTATTAATTAGCCAACTGTGTGAGTATATGTATATATATATATCTAAAAAAGAAATCATCACGGGATTTCGGTTCGGTTTTCGTTCATCCCATCAAATTGATTAACAGGCAGCTCGGCTCAATGTTGAAAGCAAAACTTTTCTTGACAAGCGCAGAAAACTCTTAACAAAATATTCTGAAAATTAACAAAAGTTGCCTTAAAGCTAAGTCGTTGGCGTTTTAAGCATCACATTATATTTATATCTACTTCAATAGTTTATTGCAAATGAAAACAAATTTTTAAAGTTATAAAAAAATGTTGGTCTATATATTCAATTAACTAATAGCAGGGAAATATTTTAAATGAAAGCGATTCGCATTGCAGTTTTCGCAGCAAAGAATGCTTAATGCAAACGTTTAAGAATGCCGCACAGAGCAAAATTGATAAATCAAATGCCTAAGAGTCCGTTGGAAGAAAGTGGGAGAAAACTTAGCATTGAAATGGGTTATATTTTGGAAAGGATGGCTTATGAGAGAAAGAACAATTGATAAATTAAAAGAGAGAGGAGCAGAACAAAAAATGGACATAAAGAGAGACAGACCCTTAAGAATTGGGGAAAATCAAACAAAGCATAAAGCACGTGAAGCGCTTTTCTATCGGCTTCAACAACAGCTGTTTCCAGCTAATATAATTTGACTGGCATCTGAGTCGACCATCAAGAACAGATTATAACATGCAACTAGTCTTCGGCACATCAACATCAACACCAACACCAACGTCAGCGGAGACGAGAAGTAAAAGGCGAACGTCTCAAGCAAAAATGAGCCACCAAAAAAATAAACAACATAATTGCGTTTAATGTTTATTAACTTGGCCATCAAAGGCACTCACGCACACGGCAAAGGCGCCAGAGTAGAGGCAGCTTGCTGGCAGGAGCAGGCAGGATAGTACCTTGCCTTGTATGTTAAAACAAAATCCAATTAGCATTTTCTTTCCCTTTCTGTGGCTGCCTCTGCTGCTGCTGCTGCTCCATTTCACCGTTTTCCATTTAGTTTGATAAACGCGGGAGCATTTCAAATTAAATTACACGCAACTAATTTGTTTTTGTGATTTTCCACGCCAAGCATGTGTGTGCGTCATTATGCGCCCAAATTGCACAACACATGAATGTGTCTGTGTGTGTAAATAACATTGCCGCCTGTTAAATCAACAGCTAACCACGACAAAAATAACTGAGCAAACGTTGAATTTTTAATATTTGTACTTTCCACGAAAGGATAAAAGACGCTTTAGAAAATGAAAATTTCAGATATACATCTCATGTTGGCTTTCTGTTTGCCCGGCAACAAAAGAACAATTGTGGCAAGAAATTGCATTAAAATACAAAACAACATGGCTGCTTAGAAAGTCATGAAACTTGTCACAAATAACAAACAGAGGCAGCTAAAAAACGATTCAAGGCAGGCTCAAAACTGAGTTATCTATTTTTATATTGGATTATAACAGCTTTAAATCGGACTAAAAACAGTTAAGGCTTAAAATTGATTTGACACAGTTTTAAAGCGGGCTTGAAGGGAAAATTTCAATTAAAATCGTATATTCATAATTTCAATAGAATATATTTTAAATAAGAATAT